TTAAGCTCCCACTACATCAATCTGGTCTGATATGTCTGTAGACTATCCCTATTGCATGTGACCGGCCAATTGAACGATATTATCATTCTATTATATTAGTATGACTCATAATTTCCATTTATTTTGATATAAGACACGCAATACTGGTTGATATATTTGTATGTTCCACTCAATGACTATAATTCATTTAATTATTTTACTAATCTAATTGATTTTACGTTTAGAATCAGATAAAGTTTAAAGCTAAATTGTCTTTATTCTGACTAGATAGCTTTCACATAGACTCTGGAATCACCAGTATCGCATTTATAGTTCTAGTAGTATATCTGTAGGACAAATTAAATCCTACAGTCATTGTTCTATAAAGGAATGATTTCAGATTTCCGAAAAGATGTTTCTAAAGACTAAGTTCAAGTCGAATAATACCACAAATTCCTTAGAAACATTTGAGCTCCCAAGCTATTTTTTTTATAAACTAAAAGCTACCTCTTTAAAATTGAAGTCACAAGTTTTTTTAGTGATTTGTTCAGACCATTTCACCAATCAAGGGGTAAGTTTATAAACAGGTGATTTGGTCATACATACTAATATTGGTCTGGAAAGGCTGTTTGGTTTAAGTAATTTAAGTAAGTCATGCAGATACGATAATTTTGATCTCTATGGTTTAAGTTCATTATAAGTAGAACTGTCGATTACATGTTTTCAGACATCCTAACAACATATTGAAAAAACTATTTTTCTGTTGAATCTATTATATCATTCTGATAGCTATTGATGAGAAATCTCGTACTTACTTATTTACGCCTATTACTCCTAGTGGAAGAGCATAGACTACCCACCAGCAATCTTTATCCAACTCAGTTCTGGGCAATCCTATCCAGTTGTTATTCATCTTTTTCATATCTGCTTCTATTTCCTGACGTAATATGTTCTTTGGTCTTCCTGTTTTCCGTTTCTCTTCAGGATTCCAAGTTAGCACTTGCCTCCTGGTGCACTTTGTTGATTTCCATAATATATGTCCTATCTACTTCCAACGTCTTTTCCTAATCTCCTCTTCAGCTGAAAGCTGGTTTGTCTTCTCCCACAGTAGGCTGTTGCTGATGGTATCCGGTCAACGGACATTCAGTATCTTGCTTAAACAACTGCTTATAAATACTTGTACTTCTTTGATGATGGTTGTGATAGTTCTACACGTTTCATCTCCGTATGTTAGGACTGTATTGACGTTCGTATTGAAGATTGTGACTTTGATATTGGTTGACACTTGTTTTGAGTTCCATATGTTCTTCAATAATAAGAATGTTGTATTTGATTTGTCAATCCTCGCCTCTGCATCCGAAAAATCTCGTAGATTCATTTAAAATGGGTGTTACTTTACTTATATATTGGTCTTTGTTAATAATTAATAATAAAGAACACAATTGTTACTTAAAAATCGTTTCTATTCTTAGGTTAGTTGGTAACACTGATAGACAGTTGATGTAATGAGAATACAAAATTTTTTAGAACTACGCGAAATAGTAACGCAATTGCATTTTTAAGAATCTAAATACAGACAAATTTTGTAAAATATGATCTTTAAAAAGTTCAAACCAGAAAGTATGATAAATAAAGACTATAGAGACAATGAAGATAAACAATTATCTATGGTACTTCTTATACGAATATCAAAAGCAATATTATTTTGATTTATGCATTTGAACACATAAATATTGGTACAAAGGGGGCACCAAATACATACGCACCACATAAGTCACTTGATTTATGTGTGGACTGTGATACTGCCCGGATGCGCAAACAGAAGTAGGTAATTTTCTTTGGGGGCCACATCCATAGCCTTCAACCTAAAGGTCTAATCAACAAGGAAGTGAAACGATGTCAGGAGATGCAGTCCCATGGTAACAGGTGACCAATAATTGGTTCACACGCCATTTGTCTTCTTAGGATCCTGGAGCCCATATGCACCATTGTTTTGGAATCAGGGTTTTCCAACTCTCCTAGGTTAATTCTAAATATCCACTCACCTGATTAAAGCGCCGGACATTCGCTTTTTGTCCTATAAATTTCGTAAACAACATCTTGGGTGTGCGAGAAGGCAGTGAGTAGGACTTCTGTGATAGTGGCTGTATACGCTTGAACATTTAAGAGTATTTCGAGATGGAGACCTGACTCTCCCCACCCTTGACCTTACCAGGGCATTTGAAAGTAGGTTTGTTAAAAGTTAAATCCCTTTTTCTCGAATTTCATTTAGTTTGTTCGTTGCATTTAAACTGGATCATATTCAAATATTACCGGATGGACCTAGTTTAAACCAACAACTTAATCTGACTGAAACAAATTATATTTTCAGAAAAGGGTTTTTGTGAATATTATAGAAATTTAATAGTTAAAATTCACAAGTCAATTAAAGCTAGATCATGATGGAAAACCTGAAAGCCCTGGAAAGCCGTTTCGTCCTGTTGTGAGACTCCTCAACAGTGAGCATCCAGAATCCGACCACGCAAGATTCTAACCCAGGACCGATCAGTTTCACGCGCCAAAGCTTAACCTCAAAACCACTGAGTCGACCGGCATCCGACGGTGTTAATGTCTAATTTAAACTAATCCATGAAATTGCGTGACCATCTTCCGTCGTACTGAAGTAAATACCTGTATCTACCAGGTACGGATTAGCTCCACTAGTCACGGCTTCTCACTAGAACTCTAAGAGTTCCCCTACGAAGCTAGTCACTTGTGAGCACATGGTAATTATCAGTATAGGGTTGTAGAGATTATTAAGTTTTTGATTGAGTTCATGAACTGATTACGAAATTGAGCGAGAATGAATGACCTGGGTTCGAATTCTGAGGGTGGGATTGTGGATGCTCACTGCTGAGGAGTCTCACATTAGGATGAAACGGCCGTGCAGTGCTTCCAGGTTTTCAATGGTGGTCTAACATCAATCGGTTCATGATCTCAATCAAAAACCTAATAATCTTCACAACGCTTATACTGAAAATCTATTTTTGTTTGTATATCTCAATGAATAGAAAATTATATTACTGACATTTCGTGACTTAAAGTAAGTCACATCTTCAGAGTAAATGATGAAAAAAAAGCCGAATTAAATTAATACAAGTTTAATTAATACAAAGGAAACAATGAAGAATAATTTAATCCGATTACTTATTCATTCTGAAGAAATGGCTTATATTAAGTCACGAAATGTCAAAAATACAGTTTTCTACTCATTGAAATATCATATAAATATATTAATTAACTATTAATAATACATTATAATTAGATTGTTAACTTATTTCAATCCACAATCACAACAACAGCCCACGATAAGAAAGAAAGATACCAACTTCCATCTGAAGATGAAATTAAGGAAAGATACTAAAAGTGGACGAGGAAATCATCGAACGGCATCGGAATCCTGAAAGCAAAAAAAAAGCAAACAGAAAAATCAAAGAACACACTGAATCGGGAATCGGAAGCAGAAATCAAAAGGATGAATAGCAATCAGAAACAACTGAAAACGATTATTCAGATCAGAGTTGGTTCGAGAATGATGGTGGACTGTCTGTGCTTCTCAACGAGAGTTAACAGGTGTAAGTAAGTAAGCTTATTTCAACGTTAAAATACTTTTGCGATTTGGATATCATTCTTTACTCATATTAATAATACTAAATAATGCTTATGGTTACAACATTGATCGGTATACTGAAATCAAGGCTTCACTAAAGGTACTTTTTCAAAACTATCTAGCGAAAAGTAGAGTTCCGTTTTCTCAGTTAAAATGGGTAGTCATAAGCAACAAAATTAATCACTACTCTATGTGAATACACAATGTTTATCTTAAATTATAATTGTGTAAACCATTGTCGTAATCTTAATAACGGTATCAATACAATTTCGTTTACATCTTAAACAGTTGTTATTGTATCAACTAATTATCTTATAGTATAATCTAAAAATTGAGGAAATCATCAAACTACATCACGAAATAATCGCTAACTTGGAATCCTGAAGGTAAACAGTAAACAGTCAGATCAAAGAACATACTGTATCAGAATTTGGAACCAGATATTAAAAGAATGAATTGCAAGTGAAAACAACTAGAAAAGATTGTCTAGAACAGAGTTGGTTCTGGAACGATGGTGAACGACTTGTGCTTCTCTTAATCTGATTGAAACCTTATGTATACTGACAATTCGAATAATTTTGAGTTTTTATTTTATTCTCATTGTCAATAAGATCCCCAACGAGACTATAATTTATAAACGAACCAATCACATTTAGAATATGAGGTCTTGAATTTTCGCCCAAAATCGATTCAGCCATTTGTCTAAATAGCAATTTGACGTTTTAGCTGATATCAGTTCATGATGAAAACTATAAATCTAATTCCTAACCCTAATCATCAGCTGTAAATCATAATCCTTATTCTTCACACAGGTTTCTAACCTTTATTTAATCCTAGTAGGTGGTAGGTTAGCATAATCAAGGATAAAGTATGACTAAATTGTTGGCATATTTCAATCAACAACAACAACAGCCTACAATAAGAAAGAAAAATACCAACTTCCATCTGAAGATGAAATTAAGAAAAGATACTGAAAGTAGAAAAGGAAATCATCGAACTAAATCAGAATCCTTAAGGTAAACAGAAAACATAAAGACCAAAGAACACACCGTATCAGAAATTGGAACCAGAAATCAAAAGAATGAATAACAAATGGAAACAAGTAGAAAAAAATTGTCCAGAAAAGAGTTGATTCAAGAATGATGGTGGACTATCTGTGCTCTTTAACGAGGGGTTAACATAAGTACTTCAACATACCATTTCTTTTTTAATGTAAAACTGTGATTTACCTCAGTTCTTAAAGTCGAGAGTAAAAGACAAACAAACGAACAAACAAAATAAAGATTTCATTTAAATATTTATAGAAAAATAAAGCTTGATACATATGTTTCTACATGTATATGTATATATAATGAATGTCAATGAATAAGCATATATATATATATATATATATATTTTTTACGAGACTATCCTTTGGTGTATAATACTTTTATGGATAATTAGTAATATAGATATATATATTTACAAATCAAAGGAAAACATGAACTGATTGTTCCATATTGATTGATTAATTGATTAATTGATAATTGATTATTTTTTAGGTTCTAATCTTAATGATAATTGTGTTATAATTTTTGGATCATCAATACATTCTAAATGTTCTAATACAAATATTTTTGATTCATTAGGTACTTCAAGTAATTTTTGTACTGTTATATTAGTTAATAATGAATTATTGATTTTATTTATATCAGAATAAATAAATTGATTATATGGATGTATTAATTCATAACCAGATATACAATTAATCCATAAACGTAAACTTGATGAAATTAGTCTCATTTTATTAAAATTGATTAATCGATTATTATTATTATTATTATTATTATTATTATTATGATCATGATCATGATCTGTTTTATGATAATCAGTTTGATTAGCATCTTCAGCAAATCTTAAATCTTTTAATATTAATGGTAAAAATGGTAATCTTGGTATATTAATGATATTATTATTAATTATAAAATTATTATCATTATAATTATTCCATATACGTGCTGTTCTATGATTTTTAGATGGATCTGTTAATGGTAATAATATATCATTAAATAAACGACGCCAACGATTAGGTACACGTTCCCATGTATGTAATAAACGTGTAATTGATGAATTTTGTAAACCTAATATAATTGCAAATGAACTATATAAATCATATAATGGTGATGATATAAGACAATAAGCTAATTTAATTAATTTTTTAATAATATTAGCACGTTTAGTTAAATTACATGTGGTTATAATTTGTGTTATTGTCCATGCATGTAATAAACTAAAACGTTTTACAAATGTACGAATATGGGAACATGGTTTATTTATTTTATTATTATTATTATTATTATTATTATTATTATTATTATTATTATTATTATTATTATTATTATCACCAATAACATAATCTAATAATTCTTGTGGATGTATACATATAGCTAATTGTACATGACAATATGATAATATTGTAGCTAATTCATTAATAGTTAATTCATCTAATAAATTAATTGTATTTTTTATTGATTTATTTTTTTTTAATAATAATAAATGATCATATTGATGTATATTTTTAATACGATCTAAATTATTTAATTCTAAAAAATTCATTGTTACTATTAATTGTTCAGGTAATGGAATTAAACTTTGAATTTGATATTCTGTTGTTAAAAATAATCTACTATTTGGTAATAAATTAAACATAAATCCACATTCATAATCTTGATATATAATCCAATCACCTTTAGAGAATACTTCAATTAATTTTAATTCATTTATATTAGATTTAATTAATTTATTATTAGTAATTAATAATTGTTTAATTTCATATACATTTGTTTCAATTGGTACAGTAATATTAATTTGTTTTGTTAATTCAGTAATATAAATTTTAAATGTTACTGTATGTATTGATTGAATTAATGGTAATGTATTTGGTGAAATATGTAAATCAAATAAAAGATCAGGTATTGATTTTATTTCTGTATCATGTTGTTCATTAGATATATTAGAGATATCTTGATTATTTAATGATTTTACATAATTAGTAGTAGAAGTACTAGTACTAATGGTAGTAGTAGTAGTAGTAGCCGTAGTCGTCGTAGTAGTAGTACTAATGCTGGTAGTAATTGTCGTCGTCGCCGTAGGAGTAGTAGTAGTAGTAGTTATGAATGAATCACTATGTTCACTACTGGTTGCTAACTGAGTTTTATTCATTTTAGTAATTCCACGTTTATTATGATTAGTATTAGTACTAGTATTACAAACAAATGGTAATGTACGTAAAAAATGATATGGAAAATGTAAAAAATTCGATAATATATTATGTTGTTTTACAATCATTGGTTTAATATTTAATAATTTTTCATTTTTTTTAATAAGTTTATTTAAACAAATTAAATATAATGGATAATTTGTTTGTGGTTCTTCTTGTTGTTGTTGTGGTGGTGGTGATGATGATAATGATGATGATTGTTGTTCTTGTTGTTGTTGTTGTTGTGGTGGTGGTGGTGATGATGATGATGATGATTGATTATCTAATGGATTATGTAATATATTGATTTTATTATGATGATTTATTTTTTCTATATTATTTCGATTACTTATTGCTATTTTTAAATTTATTATAAATTGATTCACTTCTATTTGATTAGCAAATATAAATAAACCAAGACAATAACGCCATATATAAAATAATATAGTAACACGACATACTCTAGTGATATCAAATTGGAAATTATTGGGGAATTCCCATGGTTGATCATATTCATGAACATTATTACTATTATTATTATTATTATTATTATTATTATTATTATTATTGTTATTGTTATTATTAGTTTCATGTATAGTTTCTAATGGTTTATTACAACCTAAATATTTATATAAAAATAATAAAATTTCATTATTTGTTGTAAATAATTTATATGTTAAAAAAAATATTTGCCATGTTTGATCAATATTATATGGTGTATGTGGATATAAATATGATGGATATAATTGATTATTAATAATCAATTTTAATTGATTATTTAAATCATTTAAACAATTTTCTAATAAATGATAAAGTATATGTTCAATAGTACCAGCTATAATTGAATAATTATAATCAGTTAATTTATTGATTAATTGATCATTATTATTATTATTATTATTATTATTATTATTATTATTATTGTGTAATAGATTATTTTGTAATTGAATGAATAATTTATTATCTGGTATACGTTCTAATATTAAAACATCAGAATTATTATTTTTTAAATGTACTGTATTTGCTTCAACATTACGTAATATTCTATTAAAATCATTTTTATATAATTTAAGAAAATGACAATTATTTTCAGCTAATAATATACTAGCTGCTCTTGGTTTATCTGTTATTAATGATAATTTACCAAAATCATCACCTTCATTAAGATGACATATATAACCTTGATCATTAATATGAATCCATACACTACCATGATATATAATATACCATGATATACCAGGATCACCTTGATAAAATACAATATCTAATGCATTTTCATGTACTTCATAATATAAACATTTACATAATTCTTGTTTAACAGATATAGAAAATGATGATAATGCTGGTACTAATAATAATTCTTGATATACATATTCTAATTCATTTTCAGTTCTATTTGATGGTAATTTTTGTAATATTTTACGAAATAATGCTTCAGGTGCAAGACGATATAATTTATCAATTAATATATGATAACCATCTATTTTATGATTATGATCATTATTTATATTGATATATTCATTAGATTTATTATATGATAAATTATTAATAAATTTTAATAAATCATGATTATGTTCTATATTTGATTGATTTATATGTGAATAAATTTCATTCGTTACTATAGCTTCATCAATAGATAAACGTTTCTGTTTTATACATGTACATATATAAAAAACATCATCACGATCATAGAATTCAATAGAATTTAATGTTTTATCATTATTTATTGATAGAATTGGTTCAATTGCATTTTCATCTAATAATAATTGCCATAAACCACATATTAAATTACGATCTGTTTTATTTTCATAAATCATTAAATAATTAATTAAATTTGAACCAGATATTTGATGATATATAATATTATCATTAGAATTTAATTCAAATGATGATAATAATCTTGTCCATATCTCTGAACATATAGTTATAATCCAATCGGGTGTTATTTTAGCTTTATATAATTTAGGTATTGATAATTTACAATCATGAATACATGGTAATTTATCTGATTTATCTATTTTCATTGAAGTACTTGTATCATTACTATTATTAGTATTACTATTATTATTATTATTATTATTATTATTATTATTATTATTATTGAATAATTGATTATTTATTATTTCCATATTTGATGAATTATTAATTAAACAAGTTCTTTGATCAATTATTGATTCATTATGTTGAAACACATTTGATTTTTGTTTGGAATGATCAAAATGATAATTTGAATTCATGTATAGCAACCAAAATTGTTTATTATTATTATGATTAATTAATTACTATGGAAACAAAATATTTTTTTCAATTTTTTTCATAAATTAAGTTTAATTTGAATTCCAATAATCAAAAATTATGAAAAAAATCTCGGTTGTAATTTGTTAATTAGTTTATAATAAATAAATAAATAAATAATGAAAAAAAAGGAAAAATCATTTTCTTTATTCTACCACCCACATAGTTTTTTTTCTTTTCTTTTATTTATTTTTTTGTATTTTTATTTCCTTAAATTATTCAATTGAACCAATCAACAAATAACAAGGTAAAATTAAAATTTTATTGGTTAATTTATTTATAATGTTAAAAAATCTTGTGACTTAAGGCTATATTGAGGTAATCTGAACAGGATGAACGTATGTCAATAAGAGACTGGTCAATTACGGTCCTAACACAACAATGAGAAGATATAAATAAAACTAACACCGAGTGGATTTAAACTTCACCCTATTGCACAAGTAGGTGGCTATTAGAACTTAGTAACTAAGTAGATAACGTGATGGCGTTTGAAGAGAACAGTACTGGGTTCGAGTCTGAGAGTGAACATCAATTCAGGGGTACATGTACATCCAGCTGATGTGTTTCAAATAGAACGAAACGCGAATCAAACTGGATTTCACTGCTAGCCACTTTCCATCTTTGCTTAAATAAAGCTTGTGACTTAAGTTTATATTGAGGCGATCCGAACAGGATGTACATATGCCAACATGAGGCTGATCAATTGCAGTCGTAAATAACAATGGGAAGATACAAGTAAAACAACACCAAGTGAATTTATAATGTTACACTTTAAAAATATATATAAATGACTATATTTACTTATTTATGATTGTTAAACTTTATGAAGGCCTATTATTCATTAGTATTATTCATTCAATTTTATAATGAAATAATCATTTGCTATTTGCTTCTGATACTTGACATAATTCGTTCGTTAGTTGTCAATTTTTCTGTTTCTATTTAGGATTGTAAGTTAAGGTTTATCAATGATGAAGTTCCATTATTTCTACAGTGTATGTTCTATTCACTATACGGTCAATGAGTAGGTTTGTTTTAAGTTCTGAATTTCATATAGCTTATGTTATGCATTTAAACTGGATTAGATTCAAATATTACCAGATGAACGTAGTTTAATACAATCACTTAATCTGGTCGAAAATAATTATATTTTCAGAGAAGGGTTTTTGTGGATATTATAGAAATTTAATAATTCAAATTCATAAGAAGCTAGACCATCATGGAAAACCTGGAAGAGCTGGATAGCAATGCTCATTCACTATTCTACCTCGCGAGATTCTAACCCAGGACCCATCAGTCTCGCGCGTGAACACTTAAACTCTAGACCAGTCAGTCGGCATCCAACGGTGTTAATGTCTAAATTCAACTAATCCACGAAATTGAGCGACACATCCACCATTGTCATCAGTGGAGTTACTATCTCATAACAGACCCAGTTGAACTCCACCGGTCATTGCTTCTCACTAGAACTCTACGATAAAGCTCTTGAAGCCAGTCGCTATTGAGCGTATGTTGATCAGTATCAGAAGGGGTTTTGTGGAGATTGAAATATTTTTTTATTTATTTGAACACATAAATATTGGTACAAGAGGTACCAAATATATATGCGCTACACGAATAATGAGAATTTGAAGAGAAGAAAATAAAAAAAACACAAGGAGCTTAAAGAAGAAAAACAACAATAACAAACAGATTGGTGTAAGGTAGTGTAATAATAATAATAATAATAATAATAATAATAATAATAATAATAATAATAATAATAATGTGAATTGTTTGACTGTAAGTCGAAGCGTGAATAGAATTTTCAGTAAATATTGTCATATTCATTTTATGTGTATGTGGGCTGTGATACTGCTCTGGTGCCCAAACCGAAGCAAGTGGTTTTCTTCGGGGGCAACACCGGGAGCCTTTGACCTAAAGGTCTAACCCACAAGGCAGTGGAGCATCATAAGGAAATGTAGTCCCATGGTAGCCGGTGACCAACGATTGGTTTACACGCTATTTGTTCCCTCAGGATACTAAAGCCCATGTTTACCATTGGTTTGGGATTCTGTTAAAGCTCCGGACATTCACTTTTCATCCTCTCATTTTCGTAAACAACACCCCCGCCACGAGAAGGCAGTGAGTGTGACTTCCTCGACAGAGGTTGTATACGCTTTACTGTGTGAGAGTATTTCGAGAGGGAGGGCGGGCCCGCCCCTCTGTCGGCCATACCAGGGCATTTGGGGGCTGTGTAGTGTCAGGAGTGAGATTCAAACCCACAACCACAGAGTGCACTGTGAGATTGTAGGAGTTTCAATAACTGAGATCATGAGTCAATTGAAGCTATGTAATTGTCTCTGTTATCTTTATTCACAAATCTTTGTATTATTATTACTATTGGTTAAACATCATCATTAATCTCCCCAATACATGATTCATTCACTTCGCATTCATCGCAGCTTATTTCGTCTAACTAATAAGTTTTTTACACAATATAGTCATCCATTAAACATTTGATCGATTTGTAATTGCACTATTATTTCTCTCTCACCCTATTTGACCCATATTTATTCGGATGATGGATCATAACATATAAACTGATTCCAGTTAACATTTCATATGAGTCATATCAACATGAGCAATTTTATTCCATTTTGTTTGACAATCCTTTACTTATACAATTACCGTCAAGTTTCAAATCAATATTTGTAGTTCTTTTCAGTTATATTAATTTCTTTTTTGGTTAGTTTAATACATTAGTTTTCTGATATCTTGACAGTTAGAATTTACAAATCAACATACCAACAACTAAAATAGTAATAATAAAGTACCTTACATGTCTTATAATTAGTACAATACCATATTGTTATTTTTTACGATTCGGCTGTTAATGATCTATAATTTTAGTTTCTGCTTCAGTCATTTATGTAGCAAGATCATAATTTTGATCAAAATGGGGATGTGTGGAGATTGTAGTAATTATAATACACATTAACAGTGTTGGATGTCGGTTCAGTGTTCTAAAGGTTAAGTGTTCACGCGCAAGATTGAAGGTCCTAGGTTCGAGCCCCGTATACAGGATCGTGGACGAGCACTGCTGAGTAGTTTCATACTGAGAAGAAACAACCGCCCAGTGTTTTTAGGTATTCCATGGTGATCTAGCTTTAATCGACTCATGAATTCAACTACTAAAAATTAGTATCATGAGTCAATTAAAGCTAGAACACCATGGAAAACCTGAAAGCACTGGACGGCCGTTTTGTTCTAGTGTGAGACTCCAAAGCAGTGTGCATCCATGACCCCGCCTCGTGGGATTCGAATTCAGAACCTACCAGTCCATTGTGGTCTAGCTTTAATTGATTCATGATCTCAACTATTGATATTATAAATTACATAAAGGAATGTTTTAATACTATTAAGTTATTAAACTGATCAGTCACTAATCTATCCAAAGCCATGAACAATAATAAGCTTCTTTTTTTCTGATGACATCAGAATGACAACTAATTGTAGTAATTAAACAGTTATGCTTTATGCCTTACTGAAGAATAGGATGCATGATATTGATCTATTAATTATTATTGCAAAACAAAAGTTATTTTCATAGGTTGTATGTTATTTTAATTATTCTACATCCATTAAACATAATCATCAATTTTCATTATATGTTTACCACTAGTAATTATTTTTGTACTTTATATCATTGATTTTTTTGTTGTTGAGATGTGTTTGCTCATAGTGATATTAAGGGTGTGTATTTGTTTGTCATCACAATTGACTGATCACTGGGTGGTGATTAATGTCATGTGTGTCAAGTCCTTCTTAGTGCAGATCGAATGCTATCAACCAAGTTGCAATATGGCCACTAGTCTAGGTGACTCGACACTGTGCACTATGTTGAGATTAGATGGTGGTTGAAGGTAGTCAACAGGAAACCCTGGACCCGGGTTTCGTGCTACTTGGCACTCTTCAGCATGGTGTAGCTGTAATGGTGAGGGAACTCGTACTCCCTGATTGATTCGATCCCGTGTCACCAAGCTTCACAGTCAGAGACGTTACCATTGGTCTATTCGGGCCGTGTCCGACCTCCTGTAGGACTGAGATGTAATCACCTTCTTTTACATTGTTTATGTGTTTAAATAAATAAGCAACTTAAATCCAAGCATATAACGTTCGTAATAAATAAGCACAAGTAATCTGAAATCTTACTTAGATTACTGTATTGTACAAATATGAACATATTTGGTGTTATTTTGTTATGGATGTCAAAAACACAATTTAATACTTTTCAGGTAAATAGATTCACTTAAGAACACTTTTTACCTTGTAGGTAGATAAAGTTGGTCTTTCAAGTCAGTATATAGATTTTCATCTCGTTACATTGAGTAACAATGTAATCGGATATTTATTAGATGAATTCATGAGTCAATTGGAGCTAGACCATCATTGAAAACTTGGAAGCACTGGACAGCTGTTAGACATTAACACCGTTCGATACCGGTCGGCTCAGTGATTTAGAGGTTAGGCTTTCGCGTGCGAGATTTATTGGTTCTGGGTTCGAATCTTGAGGGGCAGGGTTGTGGATGTGCACTGTTGAGAAGTCTCATACTAGGACAAAACGGCCTTCCAGTGCTTCCAGGGAATTCTACCTTCAATTTGCTCATGAATTTATCTACTAAATTACTATAATATTCACAAAACCCCTCTTTCGATATTTATTTGTCACGCATTGATTTATGAAGAAACCAATGACATTATTATGTTCATATATAGAGTATATGAAATCAGAAACTATCTTTTATTATTACTAGTTCAATGGATCATGAATGAATTTTGGTTCATTCTTCAT